TGTTGCCTCAAGACCCTTATGAGAGAGCTCAAGCTCGTTTCTGGGCTCAGTTTGCTGATGACAAGGTGACTCTTTTGACTTTTTCTCCTGGTTTTTGTTTTTTCGTCTGTCTGTTGTTTTGTTCACGTTATGATGAGTATGAGTTATGATGTAGCAAATTATTTTACTAGATGATTTGAGGAAAATATTGTGCAGTCTGATGCATTTCTGTCGGATGACTCCCTTTTTTTCCCCCAAAGTTGATTATTAGGAAGCTGAAAATGAATTGCCGTGCCAATGGTTGGAGTCTAGTTCAAGCTTGTTGCTGAATTGGCTACTTCAATTGAATGTTCACCAGAAAAGCACAAAAACCGTGCAAAGAGATTCTTCGAGTCAAGAAGTCCATGTTCTTTTGTGCCCTGTGAGTTTATTCTGTGCATGCTTATCTTGCGTTTTCATGCTCGCTGGATGCATCAGAGAGAGAGAGAGAGAGAGAGAGAGAGAGTTATTCTAAGACAAGAATATGGAGGAGAACCATATTAAGTAAAGGCGTGATGTTGGAGTGCCATGATTGCTTCCCTTGAATCCCCAGATTCCATCTATGGATACTCAACACATATCAAGCTAGATGCCAGCTCCTGAATGGCAAACTAATGGCAGAATCGATACCATGGAGTATGGATGAAGCTCTTTGGAACCGGGATTTCTTGCTCATATATGCTGGACAACAAAAAACGCTATCTTACAAATCTTTCTCCAAGAAAAAGGTTTTCTGATGAAACCATGTCTGCAACTGAGAAAATTCCATTGAAAAGAACGAACCCTTAATTCAATCGAAGTAGAACATCAACCATAGAGCCAGGTTTACCAAGGGGATGCCTACCCATGTACCAACAGAGTTAATGTTACTAAATCCTCTTTAACAGTTGTAGATCTTCTCGTCTGCCTTATAGGTCGGTTTTTCTTCTGGCACCCAAATATATAATTCACATCTTTCAGAAACACAGGACTTTATTGCATGCATGTTTGTGGCTACAGCAGAATTAATTTTCCATCGAGTCAAATAGTTCTTGATGACAAGCTTGCTTGTTCATTTCTTCCCACGTCACTGAGAACAGTGTGTCTTCGGCACTTGGGGAGCCTGTCGGGCCGAAGATGCCCTGGAAAAGGAGAAAGCAGTGGAGACTGCATTAGAGTCTTTCGCTTATCTGGAGAAGCAGATCGAAGGGAAGAAGTTCTTCGCGGGAGACAAGATAGGCTATTTGGATCTTGTGGCCGGCTGGATCCCGCATTGGCTTGGCGTCATGGAAGAAACTGGAGGCATTAAGATACTTGATGCTGAGAGGTTCCCATCCCTTCATGAATGGGCAAAAAACTTCATCGAAATTCCGCTGATTAAGGAATGTGTTCCACCGAGAGATTTTCTGGTTAACTTTTGGACTGCTCTTCTGAGCAACCTGCGTTCCTCGGCACCGAACAAGCCATAGAACACACCCTTCACTTTCCCTTCAAGTGTTGCTCTGTTTTTCTCCCCTGTTTTCCTCTCTTGTAACCTTCTGATGTGGCGCAATAATATATTTATAATCAGCGTTCTCTTGGGAGATTATAAGTGAATTCGATATTACACCTGGGATCACCGTTCCTTGTGTAAGCTTGTAACCTTCTGATTATAAGTGAAGATTTTGCACGGATGAAACTAAAATCGCAATCTAAATTGAAAGATGGAATATCGTTTACCTGCTTGACATCACGTCAATGCACCATCTAATATTATCATCTCATCACATGACAAATTACCTTATATTTAAGGAGGATCGATCGAGCTCCCGAGTCATCACCTCTCAAAAAATCAGGTTCACAAAGTTTGTGGAGAATGTCTCCAACAACGCGCAAATCATCGCATGTACTGGACAACAACAGAACATAAATGAGTAATTTGTCTACGTTTACAGAAAAAAAAAAATTACGCTAGAAGATATAAGTATTTAATTGGATATTAGGGGTAAAAAAAAGTTGACTAAGGTCTAGACCCATGGACAAGTTCATAAATGATTGTTTTAAATGCTAGATTAGTTGATTAAGACCTCAAGGCATTTCCCCAAGTCTGCTTCCATGGAATGGAATGAATGACTGAATATTAAAAAAAAAAAAATGACCATGTGGTTTAGTTAGTCCCCATGTGAATATTCAATAATGGAGATTTTTCTTGTTTTAATTAAATAAATCAGATAATAAGCCATATGCCACAGATTTTTATCATAACGAGCTAACAAGAAACAAATTATATCGTTCTATTTTCAACGTAAGATTAAAAAATATGGCGAAGGAAACAAGAATTTTGCTCGAGGTCTAATCCAACTAGATTAGGATTGCAACAAAGGAACAAAGAAATCAAAGAAGATGGGCATTTTACTTACAGAGAAAAGTTTGCCACCGCGTTTGGCGCATCATTTTCAAAGAGCTTTGGAGTTCCAAAGGCCATTAAACCAAAATTTTGGTATTTAGCAGCATAATTTCAAGGCCTTTGGTACAAAATTAAACTTTAAATACTCAAAGTTCAAGGCGACTCTCGCTCAGCTTCGGTCTTTCCGAATTTTTCGTAATGCTACTTAAGGGGTTTAATGAATTTTCCTTCTTCGAATCTTGCCCTCAATACATTGGTATCCCTGTTTTTTTCCCTGCTTGGACAAAGACAGAGTTGGGAAGTTTTGCAAAAGAGGCCCAGGGTCGCTGTCGCCGCCTTGCCTGGTGTCGCGCAACTTGGGCCGTGTGTGGGTCGCGCGACGACGACCACCGAGGGTCATGCGACAGTAGGGTCACGGAGGTGGCCGGGGGGGCGGGCGAAGACAAGGGCAAGTTGGTATGGTGGGGCTCGTGAGAGCTAAAGTTGCTTTCTAAAGTGCATTTTCTGATGATTACCAAATGATATTTGCATTAAGTGAAAGTCCTTGGAATCAAAATCTTTCGTCTATGCAAAGTCATTCTCCCAAGCCTCTCGCAAACACAAGTCATTAACTTTGACACCACGCAACAACGGCCATCAGTCAGTGTCAATGTCGCAAATTACGGGGTTCGATAGGGGTAGACTCGTCTTTCCAAGAGCGTCCATTCCAATTTGGGCCCGGCCATGGGCCCATGGCCCATACTATGAATCTTTTGCTTTTTCTTTGTTCGCTTTTTTTGTTGTATTCGTTCCTTTTTTTTTCAGCCAACATAAATTGGGTTTTGAGAATAGTTTGGGAACTTCGATAAATGTACTTGAAAAGGAACCAAAGAGAAAACAAAAGGATCTTCGAATGTGATCGGTTTATGGACTAATTATCTACTACAACTAAATTGCTCAATCCGTAGAACTAGCAATAAAAGTCAAATGCATACGGCCGACAAGATACATATACGCGTTGGTATTTCAAGTAAACTTTGTCGCAACAAGCGGGCTGATGAGGGCCCACTGCTCCTCTTAGTCGCTCAGTGCTCGACATGCTTTTTTACATCGAGAAGGCATACACGTTTCCAAATCAAAATGTTTTCGAGTAAAAACTAGCGTAAAATCAGTCTATCACGACTACGATGAGTTGAGATAAATTGCGCCTAAGTAAAAATATATCTATGTTGATCGCGTTGCATGGCAAAAAAGAACTACATTTGTAGCAATAATGTACCCTTTTTTTCTTGTTATAATATTCCAGATCCAATGAGAGGAATAATTGGAACTATTGTCTCGAACTTCTTCATGCTAAATGAATTCTAGCAATTTGACTTCGTACCACCGAAGAATTTAATCGTACGCTTGAATGATAAACCAAAAAATCAAGAAAATACTTGCATAATTGATTTATATCGATCCTTCCTGGTTGAAGGCATTGGTATATTATAATCCTCGGTCGCCTAAATGAAATAATCTGATCTTTTTCACTGAACTACATCCTCTGTCCCTTTCCCTTTTACTTGTCAATGGCTGCAACTTCCATGAACCTCTCTGTGACCCGCGATTATTCAAACTTGGCAGATACTATCAAACTAAAGTCGAAGATCATTTTCAAGAAACCATGCGTTCCCTTAGGAGCTAAGAAACCCCAAGTGCATCCTTCTTTTCGATCAAGGACCGCGGCGAAGACGAGAGACTCCGAGATTTTTTACTTGTGACCTCATGGTGTGGTGCATGATAAGTCTATTCTGCTTCTATGCTTAGTGAGATTCCTGTTGGTAGATTTATATGCAACTTGAATTCGATTAGATCCGTGGACCGATGCTTCATTGTGTGCATGTTTATTGTGGTCAGTACAAAGTAAAAAAAAGCTACTGAACAGGCTTATGGACATGTATATCAAGCAATGAAGTTTGGATCAACATATAGTTCAGCAGAAATGCGTGCACTTTGTCTCTGTCTCGTGATGAACCTATGTTGAACAACGAAGTCTAATTGTCTATGTTAAACAATCAAATCGGCAAAAGAACACTACAAGTGTCATAACTTGTGTACGGCGCTCACTTTGGTGCCATAAGTTTTTTTTGGATCACTTTAGTGCTAAAAATTTTGAAAAACGATCACTTAAGTGCTAAAATTTTTGAAAAACGATCACTTAAGTGCCAACTTCGGTGCCGTACACAATTTTTCGCCAGAAATCGGACATGGCATTTTTTTTATTAATTTCTGAAGCTGACGTGACTCGCCGGAGATTGGCACTTAAGTGATCGTTTTTCAAAAATTTTAGCACTTAAATGATCGTTTTTAAAATTTTTTAGCACTTAAGTGATCGTTTTTCAAAAATTTTAGCACTGAAGTGATCCAAAAAAAAACTTATGACACTTAAGTGATCGTTTTTCCTCCGACTTGACATCAAAGTGATCCGAAAAAAAGTTATGACACCAAAGTGATCTCCCTACACAAGTTATGGCACTTATAGTGTCCTTTTGCCCAATCAAATCTATTTTGTTTCTCCTTCTTGGCCTTGCCTTTCGCTGTTCCTCGTCAATGGCCGCCCCATTTTTCTGCTCCAAGATTCAAACTTGGCAGCATTAGCCTAAACATGGCGGTCGCTTTCAAGAACACACCTCATATTTGTCTATATACGAGAGATCCCTACTCGACTACACTGCTCAAAACAACAAAGCACGATCATGGCTAAGTTAAAGATCATAGTCTCTGCGACGAGCTTGTTCTGCACGAGAATCGAGTGGGCTCTAAAACTGAAGGGCCTGGAGTACGAGCTCACTGTTGAAGACTGGGACAAAGGGAAGAGCGAATTGCTTTTGAAGTCGAACCCGGCACACAAGAAGGTCCCGGTGCTTTTGGACGATGGGGTCGCGATTGCAGAGTCGAAAGTGGTTCTGGAGTACATCGATGAGAAGTGGAAGGGAGGTGATTTTTATCCGTTGTTGCCTCAAGACCCTTATGAGAGAGCTCAAGCTCGTTTCTGGGCGCAGTTTGCTGATGACAAGGTGACTCTTTTGACTTTTGCCCTCGGTTTTTGTTGTTTCGTCTGAGTCTGCGTCTGCTGTTTTGTCCACGGTATGAGAAGTATGAGTTATGATGGAGCAATTATTCTACTAGAAGCTTTTAGGGAAAATTCGAAGTATATTCTGCAATCTGATGCATTTTAGTTGTACTGACAGTTTTCTGTTGAATGATGTTCACTTCTTTGCCCCCGAAGTTGATTATTAAGAAGCTGAAAATGAATTGCCTTGCGGATGATTCGAGTCTAGTTCAAGCTTGTTGCTGAATTGGCTCGACTTTCTGTTAGATACTTCAATTGAATGTTCTCTAGAAAAGCACAAAAACCCTGCCAAAAGATTCTTCGAGTCAAGAAGTGCATGTTCTTTTTTTTAAGCAAGGTTCCAAGTGTCCTATGAGTTTATTCTGTGCATGCTTAACTTGTTTCCGGATCAAATGTTTTTCGAGTATGGATGAAGCTCTTTGGAATCGGGATTTCTTGCTTATATATGCTGGACAACGGAAGATGCTATCTTTCAAATCTTTCTCCATGAATAGGTTTTCTGATAAACCATGTCTGCAACTGAGAAAAATCCATTGAAAAGAACGAACCCTTAAATTCACTCGATGTAGAAGATCAACCATAGAGCCAGGTTTGCCAAGAGGATGCCTACCCATGTACCAAAAGAGTTAATATTACTAAATCCTGTTAACAGTTGTAGATCTTCTAGTCTGTCTTATAGGTCAAATTTTCTTCTGGCACCCAAATATATAATTAACATCCTTCAGAAACACAGGACTTTGTTTCATGCATGTTTGTGGCTACAGCAGAATTAATTTTTATCGAGTCAAATAGTTCTTCTTAATGACAAGCTTGCTTGTTCTTTTTTTCCCATGTCATTGAGAACAGTGTGCCTTCGGCACTTGGGGAGCCTGCCGTGCGGAAGATGCCCTGGAAAAGGAGAAAGTGGTGCAGATTGCATTAGAGTCTTTTGCTTGTCTCGAGAAGCAGATCGAAGGGAAGAAGTTCTTCGCGGGAGACAAGATAGGTTATTTGGATCTTGTGGCCGGCTGGATCCCGCATTGGCTTGGCGTCATGGAAGAAACTGGAGGCATTAAGGTACTTGATGCTGAGAGGTTCCCATCCCTTCATGAATGGGCACAAAACTTCATCGAAATTCCGCTGATTAAGGAATGTGTTCCACCTAGAGATTTTCTGGTTAACTATACGACTGCTCGCCTGAGCTACGTGCGTTCCTTAGCACCAAACAAGCCATAGAACACACCCTTCACTTTCCCTCCAAGTGTTGCTCTGTTTTTCTCCCCTGTTTTCCTCTCTTATGCTTGTAACCTTCTGATATGGCGCAATAATATATTTATAATCAGCTTTCTCTTGGGAGATTATAAGTGAATTCGATATTACACCTGGTATCACCGTTCCTTGTGTAAGCTTTAAGTGTTGAATGGGTAAATTAAAAGGTAGGTAACGACACCTAACTCTGAATCGTAAATTCATTAAAGCAGCTATACCTTGGTCGGGCATCCTTTCAGCAAGAACTTAATTTAGTGGCTCGAAACAAGGTACTCAAGTAGATACATACATTTTCACAGGATTGCCCGGACACCCTATGAAGTTAGATGCATATGATGTATGTACTGTCTCTACATGCCAAAGCTCGACAACCTTCAGTGCCGAGTCTGCTTAACAGACAAAACCAACTTCTTCACAGCCTCCCCTTGCTTCTGCCAATCTAGCGTTGAAGCCATGGCTTTGACTTGGTTTTGTGAGATTGGTAAGTTCTTTTTGTGCAGATGTATCACTATCAAAAGTGCAGGTGTGACGCAAAGGTTAAATAAGTACTCGAACGAAAAAAGATTGAAGCAGATCTCGTGTGGTGTCATTGAATTCGCTATGACTTACAGATTGTCGATGTGATGAAATAGAATATGTTGCTCCAAAGTTCAAACCCAGATGCTTTAAACTTGCAGCATATGAAGTACTTGAATTGAGGGTTTTGATCATGTCAAAGTGCAATGGAGAGATACTTAGATATTCGGACTAAATATTTACTCTAGACAACTATTTGCTGCTCATTAAGTTACTCAATGCACTTGTCATCTTTTTTTTTTTATTCTCCTTGTCAAGCCAACTTGCCATCCTTTCATTACAATCCCTCGAGATTAATATCCGCTAAAATTGTACTATGTTCTTGGAGTTTTCATCTTTAAGATTATCCAACCTTTATCTCACAATAATGAATAGACCAATCATCGAATCAATATGAACTCTGTTGACTATGGGGTAGAAAGTTCACCTGCCTAAATCAATCTACTTGTAAAATTCAATAACTAGCAGTCCGTTGGAGCAACACGAACATGATGCAGCCTTTCACAGACCCAAAAATGGATGACTCTTCATGCTTTTTGAGCCAGTGTGTAAAAAAAGATCATCTAATATCTCGATCCCCAATTGCTCCTTCAAGAGTCCCTCATTAATGGCTCTCCAATGAGAAGTTAACTCTTTGGCTCTTGCAGGATTTCCTTCCGTGGTGTTTATAGGCAGCTCCACAGTTTTCTCTGTGCAAAAGCAACCATTCCTCTCCTCTTCATCCTATTACTTCTTCAGGAAATGCAAAATACACCGGCATGTTATAGCCATCCACTCTTCTTCACTTATTGTTCCCTTCGAAGAACCAGGAAACGGAAAAGGCAAGTCAGTTTCGTGAAGTTATGGTTCCAGGTCAAGATGAATAAACTATTCTGAAAAGAAAGATTTTCACTTATCCACAAAAAAATGGAACTATTCTGAAGCCGACAAATGAGGTACGTTCATGTATAACGACCCAGTTTTCAAGGCAAAATGTTGCTAGGAATTCTCCAAGTAGACCGGGTGAACCTTGAAGCTTCTAAGGACCTTTCCGAGTGTCTATACTCTCAATTCTAATGTGAGAGCTAAACCATCTTCCATTGGAAGAGCTCATTTAACTTGAGTCCGTTTTGTCAAATCAACCAACATAGTTTTGGGTGAGGAAAGGTCTCGTACACAGACTTGAACTAGATTCTAGCATTGTCTTATAGCTCTACCAATTTGCACGGATGAAACTAAAACCGCCACCTAAATTAGAAGATTTTGCACGGATGAAACTAAAATCGCAATCTAAGTTTAAAGATTGAATAGCGTTTACCTGCTTGACGAGGTCCATGAGGCAAGAACCCAGCAAATCCATGGACTTGGTGGCGACATTTCCCCTAATCTGCTTCCATGGAATGGAATGAACGACTGAATAATCAAATAAAAAAAAATTGACGATGTGGTTTAATTAGTCCCCAAGTGAATATTCAATAATGGAGATTTTTCTTGTTTTAATTAAAATAAATAAGATAATAAGTTATATGTCGCGGATTTTATCAAAACGATCTAATAAGAAACAGATTATTTCGTTCTATTTTGGATGTAAGATTAAAAAATATGGGCATTAAGTGAAAGTCCTTGGAGTCAAAATCTTTTGTCAATGCAAAGTCATTCTCTCTAACCTCTCGCAAACCCTAGTCAGTAACTTTGACACTACGCAACGGCTTTGAGTCAGTGTCAATACTGCAAATTACGGGGTTCGATAGGGGTAGACTCGTCTTTTCATGAGCGTCCATTTCCATTTGGGCCTGGCCATGGCCATAGATACGATGACTTGCAACTCTCAGGCCCATACTATGAATCTTTTGTTTTTTGTTGTATTTCATTCCTCTCTTTTTTCAGCCAAAATAAATCGGGTTTTGAGAATAGTTTGGGAACTTTGATATATGTACTTGAAAAGGAATCAATGAGAAAACAAAAGGATCTTCGAATGCGATCCGATTTATGTACTAATTATTTACTACAACTAAATTATTCAATTTGCAGAACTAGCAATAAAAATCAAATGCATACGGCCGAAAAGATATCTATATACGCGTTCGCATTTCGTGTAAACATTGCCGCGGCAAGCGAGTTGACAAGGGCCCACCGCTCCTCTTAGTCACTAAGTGCTCGACGTGATTTTTTTGTATGAAATGCATACATTGAGAAAACATACCTGTTTCCGGATCAAAATGTTTTTCGAGTAAAAACTAGCATAAAATCAATCCATCACGATATGATGCGTTGAGATAAATATCGCCTAAGTAAAAATATACTTATGTTGATCACATTCATGGCAAAAAAGAAATTTTTCTTTTTGGCTAAAAGCATGGCAAAAAAGAATTACATTTGTAGCAATAATATACCTTTTTTTCTTGTTATCATATTCGTGATCCAATCGGAGGAATAATTGGAACCAATGTCTCGAACTTCTTCGTAGCATCATTTATTATAAATGAATTCTAACATTTTGACTTCGTACCGCTGAAGAATTTAGTCGTACGCTCGAATGATAGCCCAAAAAGTCAAGAGAATAGTTGCCTAATTGATTTGTATCGATCCTTCCTAGTTGAAAGCGTTGGTTTATTATAATCTTCGGTCGCCTAAATGAAATAATCTTATCTTTTTCACTGGACTACATCCTCTGTCCCTTTCCCTTTTACTTGTCAATGGCTGCAACTTCCATGAACCTCTCTATGACCTGCGATTATTCAAACTTGGCAGATATGGAACTAAAGTCAGAAGATCATTTTTAAGAAACCATGCGTTCCCTTAGGAGCTAAGAAACCCTAAGTGCATCCTTCTTACCGATCAAGGACTGCGGCGGCGAGGCCGAGAGACTCCGAGATTTTTTACTTGTGACCTCATGATATGGTGCATGATAAGTCTATTCTGCTTCTATGCTTAGTGAGATTCCCGTTGGTAGATTTATATGCAACTTGAATTCGATTCGATCCGTGGACCGATGCTTCATTGCGTGTGCAAGTTTGTAGTGGTCAGTACAAAGTAAAAACAGCTACTGAACAGGCTTATAGACGTGTATATCAAGCAATGTAGTTTGGATCTACATATAGTTCAGCAGAGATGCGTGCACTTTGTCGTTGTCTCATGATGAACTTATGTTGAACAACGAAGTCTAATTGTGTATATTAGACTATCAAATCTATTTTGTTTCTCCTTCTTGGCCTTGCCTTTCACTGTTTCTCGTCAATGGCCGCGCCATTTATCTGCTCCAAGATTCAAACTTGGCAGCATTAGACTAAACATGGCCGTCGTTTTCAAGAACACATCTCATATTTATTTATATACGAGACGTATCCTAACTCGATTACACTGCTCAAAACAACAAAGCACTATCATGGCTAAGTTAAAGATCATAGTCTCTGCGACGAGCTTGTTCTGCACGAGAATCGAGTGGGCTCTGAAACTGAAGGGCCTCGAGTACGAGCTCACAGTTGAAGACTGGGACAAGGGGAAGAGCGAATTGCTTTTGAAGTCGAACCCGGCGCACAAGAAGGTCCCGGTGCTTTTGGATGATGGGGTCGCGATTGCAGAGTCGAAAGTGATTCTCGAGTACATCGATGAGAAGTGGAAGGGGGGTGATCTTTATCCCTTGTTGCCTCAAGACCCTTATGAGAGAGCTCAAGCTCGTTTCTGGGCTCAGTTTGCTGATGACAAGGTGACTCTTCTGACTTTTTCCCCGGTTTTTTTTTTCCGTCTGCGTCTGTTGTTTTGTTCACGTTATGAGGAGTATGAGTTATGATGGAGCAAATATTCTACTAGATGCTTTTAGGGAAAATTCGAAGTATATTCTGCAATCTGATGCATTTTATTTGTACAGACAGTTTTCTGTTGAATGATGTTCACTTCTTTGCCCCCCAAGTTGATTATTAAGCTGAAAATGAATTGCCGTGCCGATAATTCGAGTCTAGTTCAAGCTTGTTGCTGAATTGGCTCGACTTTCTGTTAGATACTTCAATTGAATGTTCACTAGAAAAGCACATAAACCATGCGAAACGATTCTTCGAGTCAAGAAGTGCATGTTCTTCTGTTTAAGCAAGGTTCCATGTGTCCTGTGAGTTTATTCTGCACATGCTCATCTTGAGTTTATTATGTGCATGCTTAACTTGTTTCTGGATCAAAATGTTTTTCAAGCATGGATGAAGCTCTTTGGAATCGGGATTTCTTGCTTATATATGCTGGACTACGGAAAATGCTATCTTGCAAATTTTTCTCCATGAAAAGGTTTTCTGATAAAACCATGTCTGCAACTGAGAAAATTCCATTGAAAAGAACGAACCCTTAAATTCAATCGATGTAGAAGATCAGCCATAGAGCCAGGTTTGCCAAGGGGATGCCTACCCATGTACCAACAGAGTTAATGTTACTAAATCCTCTTTTAACAGTTGTAGATCTTCTTGTTTGTCTTATAGGTCTGATTTTCTTCTGGCACCCAAATATATAATTCACATCCTTCAGAAACACAGGACTTTATTTCAAAAGTT